TTTATATTTACTAATAAATAATTTTATAGTTAATTAATTATATATATAAATATATTCAATAAATATTTAATGAATTATTTGGTGAATAAATTAAATATTCGAATATTCATTTGGTGAAAAAAATCTTATTCAAATATTCGAATATTCAATGAATAGAGATGTTAATGGCTTGATTAAAGCTGGCTTAGCTATGGTTTTACAGCCAAGCCATTTAAAGCCAGACTAGCTGGCTTCATATATCAATATTGCATCATTAAAATATTATAAGGCCGTAGCTTCAAACCACGGCTTGAGCCATAGTTTAAGCCATGGCTAAAAACCAGCTTATAAAATTTAATCGTGTCAAGAAAATAATTAACTATACAATATTGATATGCTTGGTATTTTAATTGTGTAAAAAGATTACTTATATTTATTGCGAGTTGCAAAAATTGTGTAAAATTTGCACTGGTTTCCAATTTCTTAAATTTTTTTTTTGCAGAAATATATAATAGTAAAAGATTATAATAGTAAGTAAGGCTTACTACTTGGAATTTTCAAACTAAACATCATTACATTTAAGCCTAAGCATGATGAATTTGAATTTATAGATACTTTATTTATCTCTTTTGATAGTTCTCTTAATAAATTGGGATGTTTTCAAATACTAAATTATTAAAGTAAGTAATTAATAAAAATATAAAACTAGAGATATTTTCTTAATAGTTGAAGGGTAATCAACTCTTTGTAATAGCTTAGACTTTAGTGGCATACGGTAGCTAGCTGCTCTTAAATGTTATGAGTTAAATACTGATTTAAATTTAAATGAAAAATTAGACTTTTTGATTAATAAGCAATTATTACATTAATACTTGAATTACTTGTTAACTTATACTCATATTTAAAATCTCTTTCATGTCTCCAGAATCAATCTTTGTAGAATCTGTAAATTTAATATATTCAATATATGTATTGGAAATATCTTTTTTAAGCAAATTTTCTGGTATTGTTACTATAACTTATCTTAACGATCTTTTCAGGTCTACCTCATATGTAATACAGTCAGTACTCATCGAACGGTAAAGATAAAGACTTTGTAGAAAGCTCTAGAATATGTTACCTGACATTTACGGTTTTGTAAACCAAATGCTTGTTACACAATACAGATCTTGGTAGTATAGTGGTATAGTAATAATCTTTACGTATAATGATAATGGTAATTTTTACTAAATTAGATTTTTTTTATACATATTCAAGTCTTTACACTCATCTGATTTATATATACGTTTAATATTTATTATAAATTTTAAAAGTTATAATTATGAAATTTCTTCTAATCATCTCATCTATATTTACTGTCTATATAATAGCTAAAATATGATGTAAAAAAAAAAAAACTTTTCTAATATTTTTATCACAGATATTAACTCTAATAAATTTGCTTATTTATTTTTAGTTTTGTATACCAACACCTTGCTCTATCCAACTTTTTAGGCAAAGTGATACATGAGCAGTCTGGGGATCAAGGCAGTTACGAACTTTTGTGAGTGTTTCTGCTGCAGTAGAGAAGGCTTCTTCACAAGAAACACTCAATCCTTGAATTGCAAAATGATTATATGCTATTTTTGCAAGTGTTGAAAACTTATACTCATTTTCGGCCTACCATAGAAGAGAATTATTTTTAATGGTCGTTGATATAGATAAGTAGTGCTCTAGTTCTTCCATTAAAGGTTGTTTGATTGTTTGTTGTTGTATCAATAATGACTTAAAAAATTTTTTTTATTTTTAGATGTCGATTTAGAGATAGATATAGTTGTAGTTATTACTAAGACTTGTGTTTTATATTGAGTCATTATATTTTGTAAACTAGTAAGTGCAGCATCTTTTTTATCACCAGCAGGAAAAGTCATAAGCTTAGATGAGAGGTCAAGAATTGTAGCAATTGTAGTTGATTCTTCAAGCATATACCAATATTCATTCAGCTTAGACCAAATAGAATCTGCTATCATATACTGATCTGTTGAGTGCAATTCATTATCTAAAAACTTACTAAGGTGATGAAGAAGTTCTAAAAAGGTTAAACAGATATCAGAGATAGATGGATATAAGTAGGGTGTCTGGCACACCAAAAAAATTTGGCATGCCACAGGGCATGCCTTTTGTTAAAATTTGTGCCATGGCA